AATTTGTATACCTTTACATAGCTGCACTTTTCCCCAAAATTTGGTCTTGATCGATCAATAAATTACTATTTTAGAAGATATGACGGATAGACTAACGGACGTCTCAGAACACACACACACACACACATATATATATATATGTAACCAACATGGTTTCAGGATCTTTGTCGCCATTAGGTGTTGATTTTTGTGTCCACACTGCTTATATATTTAACTCTATCCCAGATATTGTGCACTTTTACTCCATAAATATAGCATATCTTAAAACTATATTTTACCAAATTGTGACGTCCCCCCGGTGTCGCTGCGCCAGTCGTGACGTCTGCCTGGTCGCTCCCGCCGTGGTGTCCTAGTCGCGGCGCCAATTGTGACGTCACCCCGTCTATCTCCGCGAGTCGCCGTTCTATCCTCTCTCGTGACGACAAATGTGACTTGGTATTGGTCGCGGCACCAAATGTGACGTTCTAACTTTTTGCTGATTCGGATGGGAATCTGGTTAGATTTGGTATCAGCCTTGTCGTTCCCAGCTCGCCTCCAACGTCTGGTTACCGAAGTAACTGTTTTGATTTCTAGTCTAACCTACCCACGTTGTGATTTGATCTTAGGTAGACGAAATCAACCAGTCGCCGGGCCGTAATGCAAGCTGCGTCCGGACAAGTGTAATATCGCACAAGTATATGTAAAAGAAAATAAAGTAATAACTCGAAAAGTTCAAATGTGTTAAAAAAGGATAACAATATTTTATATCTGGTTGCTGAATACAGGACTTCATCTTCTTCCTAATCCGCTATATGAATTCGTGACACTTTGTGTTTGTTAGGCGAGTCTTAACATCTTAAGTTGTTTTTCCTTTAAGAAACTGGTTCTTGGTGTATCTTCAGGCGATATTCGTAAAACTTGTTTTGGTGGTGTGAGTCTAAGTCGTTATTCAAAAATAAATTGTTCTTGGTTAGAAGTTGAGTTCGGAATTGCGTGGAATCTTTCAAGTCAGCTATCTGCGGGGCGGGTCCAACGCAATTCAACTCAGCTGCGAACTGCGAACTCAACTCCACTTCACTTAACTGGAACTCAACTGCTTTTCACTCGCTGCGACTCTGCTTATATGGACGCCGACCAAAACCGGGGTGGGCTTGTCGGGGTTTGAGGTTCCTTGATAATTCTAAATCCACAATCCACTTCTTTGTTTTCGGTCAGGAAAATTTATTATTTTCCATTTTTGGAAGTCTTTCGTCCTCCCACCTTCTTCTGTTCTCATATTGGTATCTCACCATGCCCTCAGAGGGTGTCAACGGGTTTCCCCTCTCTCTCACAGTGGCATCTCATACCGATCTCTTCAATGGGTGCCAACAGGCCTCCCCTCCTACTTCACATGATTACCTTCGCATTCAGTCGATGGGCGCCCAGCAGTGTGGGTGTGGCTAGACTAGCCTCGGTTTAAAAAATCTTGCTCAAAGAAAAAAAAAATTATCTTCATTTTTTTTTCTTCTTTTCTTTCTCTTTCTTCTTCTCGACCACAAGTCCTTAGACTCTTATCTTAACCGAATTTCATATGGAATTCGTCAACGAGATTTTCGCCAATTATCAAGTGGGTGGTCATCTGGCGACCCACAGCCAATTACTCGTCCCGATAAAATAATTTTGCTATCATAGCCAGCCCTGACAATAAACAGGTGTTTTTCCCGAATGACATGGAAGGTGGTTCAACGGACATTTTGGTTTCGGTCAAGTTTGACCTAATTAATTTTTATCTCCCAGCACTCTGCGGGAGGTCGCTTGTCCAACTTGAAATTTTTACCATTGCCATGGGCAGATTGGGTATATCTTATTCGGTGCGTCGTCATAAATTAAATTAAATCCGAAACATCCGCGACCTTACTTTCCTCGCTAATGAGAATAAAACCTTTAATATTTTTCTTTGTTAAAAAGAATAACATCGCTTAGTGTCCTTTTCGTGATGGCTTCTTATCACCTAAATTTAATTCTCGCCTTTCTTTTTTTTCTTCTTTCTTTCTAGCAACCTAAATAGTGTCACAAAATAATATATATATATATATATATATATATATATATATATATATATATTATTTTGTGACACTATTTAGGTTGCTAAATATATATATATATATGGTGTTACCTATATACAACCGCTTTCTCAGATCAATGGTTAAAAATGGCTTTGAGTGAGTGAAGCCTATTGGTCATCGCGAAGATCGTACTTTTTCGAAACCTATGGACCTGCGCTACAGAATCACAAACAAAGAACTGTACCAAATAAAAGCAACCACATCACGTGAGGACTTTCTGTAGGGGTCACAACTAAAATGTATATCACATGTAACTCGAAGAGAAAATAATGACCTAATCAAAATGTTGATATTCCACACTAATAAAAAGTGAACTGAAAACTTCATCAATACTGGAAAGAACGATAACCGCTACTCGACTTGAGAAACCTAATTTCTTGAAAAATCGTTTCAAGAGACATACTTCATAAATTTAA